GACAATTACAACTACACGCAACAGAATTAATGAATAGATTAAATATGGATAACGAATGCGGAGTCACTACCAGAATCGGATTACAGTATTTACAAAATAGAATATGGTCTGATGAACCCATATGACAATTATCTGCTGAATCTTGGTACAAATTTACACATCTGGGACTAAATGGTCAGATACTGGTTTTATTGGCAGAAAATGATATTAATTTTAACGTTACTACGTAAAATCAATTTTCGATTTGTCCTATTGGCGATAATATTTCTATAAGCAAGTTCATGAACTCTGTAATCTGGTGTAATATTAATAGAGAAGCTTGTAGAAAACATAAAGTATTATTTATCGAACAACTTATAAATGCGAACATGACAAAAACCTTGAAGTGGTTAAACATTGATCAAGTGAAACCAACTAGTATAATACCTATACGTGTTGCCCAAATCCCAAATCATTTGGGATTTGGGACGCCAAAATCCCAAATTACTAATATTTGGGATTTGGGATTTGGGATTTCGGCAAAAAATACTAATCATAATTTGGGATTTGGGATTTGGGATTTTGGCATTTGGGATTTCGGCATTTGGATTTTGAATTTGGGTGGCAGGTATAGTAAGAGGGCAATTTGGATCCCCATAAATTTTTATAAACATTTTAGCCAATGATGCAGAAGACTTATTAGTTAAAGTACAACTCTTGTGATATCTAGTTGCTACATCTTTTATTACTCCTCTATGCTTAAAAATTCGATTACCAATTTTATCATGAGGCATTGAGGTAGTATCGAATTGATGCGCTTCATTTAAATCATGTATGTCATTAAAAGACGCATATTGGATAAATTTAGGACGAGGCTTATAGATCTGAAAAATGGTCTGTTTATTTAACCATTCTTTGATCTGAGTTAATGAAAAATTATAACCAGCTTTTCTGCAAGCATCTCTTATTTTTTCAGCAGTTCGATAGTACCCTTCAGGTCGGTAATATAATTTTTGTAATGCAATATTCATATCTAATTCACGAGCCCTTCTGGGATCAATATAAATTATAAGTTCTCCCATTACTTTGATTTATTATAAATAACAAAAACTCGTCATGGATGAAATAATACAGACAAATCAGGAGCTCCATGAGGAAATTGACCGATTGGCTCAATTAAACAGAGACTATGAACGTCGAACATACAACCTTGAATGGGATATAGTATCACGTGAAGAAAGAATTTGATATCTTGAGGAGGAGTTAGCAAATACAATCGAACTTTCAATACAAGAAAGGAAGGAATTGGAAAAAGAGATATCAGACTTAAAAAAGATTGTCTACCAGCTTAAAAAAGAAATTGAGCAAAAAGACAAGGAGTTAGCTAGCAGAGAAAATCAATTAGCAAAATTTGACGTAAGGGAGAAGAAACTCAAAACCCGAATTCAGGAAATATTCAAATTAGCAGGTAATACACTCAAAGCATATAATCAGACTGCAAAGCTAATAGATGAGAATGAGCGTTTGAAACTTGAAATCGATACTTTAAAATATAATCTTAGAGATCGAGACAATAAATCAACCCAGCAAAAAAGTCGTATCACTAATTTGCATTGCCAAAATTTTGGTATAAGATTATTACATTATTGGGATAAATTAGAACTTATCAATACTCGAGAAACTTTACGTGTTGCAGAGGCATGGAACATAGACAATTAATCAAATTCAGAAGATTCTGATAAAAATTCTCAGGATAGTTATACTCCCAATACAGATATGGCAACAATTTCAGATATGGCAACAATTTCAAAATTAGCTGATGCTATAGATGACTATTTAGACATTCCAGGAATGAATAGGGAAATTCTAAAAAATCAAATAAAAAGAGCTACAGGAGAGATTTGCCGTAATTATACAAATCTCCAAACTATCCAAATAAATGAGCAACGGGCCAGGTACAATACTGAAGCAGAGTGGAATTTGTGACAAACCGATTTAGATAATGTCTTGAATGATCTTAATTTGATGACAACGGCATATAACAATGAAAGAAATACACGTCAGCAATATTTTTTAGAATTACAACAATGTCGTATCAGAATAGGTAGATACAAGGATGATTTATTGTTATGTGATATCCAGCTTGATCTGAAATGGGATAAGTGAAAAAATAGAAGTCAAAATGCTGAGCAATTAATTTTAAATTTACAGGAACAAATTTTATTGTTACAGAATAATCAAGCAAATATGACAACAATTGTAGATGTAATGCAAACAATGATGCCACTTCTTGCTAATATACCACAATATATAGGGCAAGAAAATTCAGAGGAATATTATGAAAGAATTTTACGTGTATTCGAATATGCAGAACCAGTTATAGCTAGTGCTAATGCTAATGTT